TGTTGTTGTTTATTATTCAATAAATACTATTTTATATTCATAGTAGTATTTAGTATTGAGAAACAGTGTGTGTGTGTGTTCGTGATGGTAATTCAAGTGACATTGTTCCGCCATTAGATGGCGACAAGAGACTGTTTTACGAGTCAGCAGTAAAGACTTTTATATTGAAAGAGACTAAAACGGAAGTTATTTTTACTTTCAACAACAGCTTGTAAGACGCAGTTAACAAATGCACTGAGCAGAGCTGTCATTGGAAATGACCCTTAACAGATGAAAGATAGTACAACAAAGATATCGCTTTCCTCAGCGGACATTCAATCTCATGTTTTATTGTGAATATGAGATTGAGCTGAAGAATGAATGCTGTGTCAGATGCAGGTAATCACACTCTCAGTCCATCTCTCTCTCACAATACTCTACATAATTCAGTGAGCTTTTAATACAGTAATACAATAAGCTTTTAATGAAGCAACACAATGTTCCTTCGAAATATTATTGCAATTTAAAATAATGGTTTTAATATATTTTAAAATATAATTGATTCCTGTGATCAAAGCTGAATTTTCAGCATCATTACTCCAGTCTTCAGTGTCACATGATCCATGTTTATCCTGTTTATATTGTCTCACATCATGTTAATGTTGAGAAAAACAATAATATCCACATGCTCGGGTGAAAGCTGGCTCCTCAGTCTGATAACAGTAAGAATGCACACCGACACAGACGTTCCCAAGACACAAAGATAACAGTGTGCTGAGCAAAGTTTCTTACAGCGCTTTGTGTTTTCTGTTCTTAAAGCACTCTCCATCCAGGAACCAAAAGGAAGCATAATCCTATGTCTCAAGATCATTTCTGTATTTTTAATCAAATAAATGCACCCTTTGGGACAAAAATGGGATCTTTTTACTAAATTTTACTTGGATCTTAAATACAAAACTAATTCAATAAATATATAATTCATAGTATATTATATTATATTATTCTCAGGAGATATTTTTAGGTCAACATGAAATGCTGTCCAAAATGCACTTTTTAAGGGTGAGGCATGATTTAATCCAGTTCATATCATAAAAGTGGGAGTATTAGTGAGGAACCACCTTAATATTAGGGATGGGCATTTTTAATAAATATTGTATCCGAACATTTAGGCTCATAAAAAAATGTATATTTAAATACTCGTTTATTTAAATGACGTTTAACGAGTAAGATGTTATTTGTTAATAATCAAGTTTTTGTCGCCATTTCTGAACAAGCTTATAATTAGGCATCATGCACAACAATGTTCTACGACAATTTTACGTTATATAGACGTTATGTCTTTAAGTTTTCTTTTAGTTGAAAACGTGTGTAAACAAAAAAGCCACACAAATAGTGCTCGTCACATGAAGCACGAATAGAATCCATACACAGCTGACACAGTAGAGGCTGACATTCCCATATTGCAGCTAACAATGCGTCTCTATAAGTATAAAAAATATGCAGTACACACGTATAATAGGTTAAAGGAAAATTAGAATGTGCTGATCCATCCTCAGGCCATCTGAGATGTAGATGAGTTTGTGTCTTCATCAGGTTTGGATAAATGTAGCATTGCATCAGTGTCTCAGCAATGGATGCTCTGCAGTGAATGGGTGCCGTCAGATTGAGAGTCTGATAAAAACATCACAATAATCCACAAGTAATCCACAGCACTCCAGTCCATCAGTTAACATCTGGAGAAGACAAAAGCTGAAACAATGACGTTTTTAACTAAAATACATTGAATCCATAATATGAGACTAAAATGTAGTTAAATTAACAAAAACTTTACCAAAACCTTGTTATTTTTGGTGAAAAAAGTGGAGCCAAAACATTTCAGACTGCTGTACAAGACTATATTATGCGAGCGTTCATGTTTGCGGTTGCCAGATATCAAGAGCTCAAATCCCCCAATCAGAGCTTTTCTGTCAAACGGATACGTACTCTTCCCGGTTTTTGCTTTCTGCAATCTGGCAACCATTCACACGCGCTCTCTGAGTATCTGAAAACACAGACATACAGTACTGTACAAGTAAGCTGGAGTTCAGTTTGAGGTATTCTGCTTAAATGAAAGTGTCATTCAGCAGTCTGCGTTCTGTCAGGCATCTCGACTGTATTGTTTGCTGATTATAACGTTACTTACGCAACCAATAAGTCTTTTTGCCGTTGTTTTAAAAGAGAAACATGAATACAATTTGGAATTATTGGAATTGTTATTAGGAATTTCTCTGTTATAATATTAGAGAGTAGGTTTTTGTTACACCAGTTTTCATAACGTACAATGCGAGTGTATATCTGAAGTCTTTGGTGTTTATTTAGCCTCTAATTGATATCCTGTGATAAATCTGTACACTAGATGAAGTAAAATAAACCATGCATACGAGTCGATATTCTATTGATTTCTGCTTATTGGTGAAAGACAAACTTCTGATGAAATGTAAAAAGAAATTTCCCATCATTGCAATTCAAATTGAGCAAAATAATATTTTTTAGTCATTTTAACCACAGTAAGATGAAAATATGACGAAAATGTGTAGGTTTCCACAGACTAAAACGAGACTAAAATTCTCAGACATAAAACTAAAACAGGACAAGTAAAAACGAAAAGTTACATTTGACACAGGACTAAAAAATAGCTGATGAAATTAACACTAGGTTCAAGTGATCGAAATACTATGGAACACCAATGTTTAATTTTAATGCTAACTCACAGTCAGAATATGTCGATTTTCTCTATAAAATGAGCTTGCTACATTTTCTACAGATGTTACTGTTTTTGTTAATTAACTTAAATTTGCATCTGCATTTTAAGAGACAAAACATGTATGAAATTAATCACGGTCTCCGTATTAATCTCAATCATAATCGTCATTATGTTTTTTTGCCATAATCAAGCAGCCTTGATCGACACTGAATTAATGATTTTTGCTGCTTGCACAATTTACTTTAATTTACAAAATAAGCAAAAGCAGCACAATTGCTGATCATTCTGTCACTACCTAATTTTATTGTTAAATCTACTTAAAGTCCCCCTGTAGTCAAATATTTTATCCCTTAAAACTTATCTTTGATCATCAAAATGACATATTTAAATGTTTTTTCTTGTGAAAATAATTTTCTCATGCCTTAAAATAGCTTGAATGTAACTCTACACCCTTGCCTCATTTACTATACGCGGATCTATGAATATGCAAATTAGTCCCGCCTCCACTCAGTCACACAGCACCGCCTCCTGATCCACTGAGCTCTAGTAAATGCAAAACAATGGCATACACGTATAATGTCTGATAAAACTATGTTTTTACTAGCGGACAACTACAGTGAATACTGTAACATTCGTTAAAGTTACTTACTTGACGATGTTGTGTCCTAAAATGCCTTGAAGACTCAGCCTTTGTGATGGTTAATTTGCGCTCGCGAGCATACGCGTGTGAAGTGCAGACGCAGCTGCGGGAGAGGTGCGTCTGACTCCGGGCTACTTTTACACTGTTGCCACGGGTTACTCGTTTTGGGACGACCTGAATAATTTTTGTTGCATTAACTGAAGCTGATTGTTAGTTCCCAGCATGCTTTGCAGAGGGCTGGATCAGGAGAGTAAATGCTGAAATTATGTGTTACCGTTTCAGTGACCTGCTTCTGTTCTTCTCCAGATTGACTCCAGCGCACTGAAGCTCTCATCGTCTCACCATGGCCTTCTTCAGCTCTTTATTTGCCCTCCTCTTCATCAGCAGGTAAGAGCATTGTGTCATGAATCAAACTCATTTAACAGTGTTTGAGGTTTCTAAATCAGACTAGTGCTGCTAGAATAGTACGTTAACAATTAAAGGGTGTAATTATTCAGCACTTCATTAAAGGAAAAGTTAAATGTCGTATGCTCACTCTCATTTCTTTTGGCGTTTCATTTAGAGAAAGAAAGGCATATTTTGATAGCGGACTTTGGGTGAGCTATTCCTCATGTGAAATGTTTCTGGAAATGAGTCTGGAAATCAATAAAAGCAATATTTAGGGAAGGATGTTTGGATATTAGGTTTCAACAAATATATACGGTTTATAGTGCAATAAGGCTGCACGATTTGGGGGGGAAAAAATCTAATTGCGCGTTCTCTGATAAATAATGCATTTGCGGAAAAAAAGGCTTGCTCAGTTTTTCATTTATTTATTTTTTAGGGCTGCATGATTTGACAAATGTTGTGATTAATGATTATATATATGACATAATAATCTTACTAAAATATGAACATTTATTTACCGTATTGACCCGAATATAAGATGATGTTTTTTTCTTGGAAATACATCTGAAAAAAACGCGGCCGTCTTATATTCAGGGTCTAGACTTTGACATGTCAATAATACACCCACAACAATAGGTGGCGCCAAATACGCATAAAACGAGTGTGCCATGAAATACGTAATGTAATGCGTGTTGTAAAGATCGCGAGT